CTGTTATGTTTGGTCACATTTTCAAAGAGCCGCTGCAGAGGGACCAAAGATCCACATATGGCCCCAGAGCCGCAGATTGCTGACCCTTAGGGTTAGCTGTTCCATGCCACTCTCCACTATTGGGCTCACATGCGTGCCTGTACAACACACGATCCTTATAGTATGTCTTTCACAAAAATATGTCATCACATAGACTAGTTATAACAATGGCAAAGTGGCAAACGTTAACTTTTGACAGTTTTACTCACAATTAATTGACACAATAGGACTTTGCCCAACTCTAGTTTATAGTTGTGAAAACACAGAAATCTCAGCTCACTACTGGCAGCCAGTTATATCCTGTTGACAGATAGATATCCAGGCCTGCTTATCATGTGCATATGAGACAGACGTAAAAACATTTATTTTTTTTACAGATTACCAACAATATCCTCTCCCACATCATAAGCAAACACATCCTGAGTGTGACCTCCTGTGGTCTGCTTTCAGCCTCGGAAATAACTGAGACTGATACAATCTATTGGAAGAGGAGATATTAAACCAGCCCAGACAATACAACTTTTATGTCAGAAGACAGGAGGGGGGAGAGAGCGACTATCAGCTTGAACTCCCTTGTTTTCCAAGCCTCCCTTCCACTAATCAACCTCCCTTTCTGACAGGCAGCACCACAAAAGCCCACAAGGACGCGTCTCTCTGAAGATATTTGAGATCAGAAGCTGTCGCCCAGGACACGGCCTGCCTCTATCTTTAACTACAAACGAGAAGACCTCACATTCTTGAACTGCTGTGCTGGCTCTCTCTAGCTGCAGAGACCCCAAATCTTGTTCCAGTCATCCCACCGACATCACTCTTCCTCTGTGGAACAGTCGCCATGCGAGAATTTGAAAACAAGTGCCCTTAAAGGAAGAAAAATCAGCTCATGTTTTGAGTATGGGAGAACTGGTAGGGGGTATAAAGTACTGTTCAGGATCTCTGGGGAATGACCGCATTGACAACTCATTAGTCAGGTTCTTATACGTTTGACTCTATTTCCAAAGCAGTTCGATGAAAGCCCAGTTTGCTCAATGAACTTGCAACAAACACACTTGAGTTGCTGCCAAAGCCTTCTCCTTGGCTTTGGGACAGTCACGTCGCAGCTGTTCGCTACCAATGTTTGGGCAGAGTTATTTTTACATCACAAGACTGCAAACCATACTGGCATCCAAATCCCATCCCCTCACATGGAATAAAGAAGCTGCAGCACACACTTGAGGGTTTTGGTGCTGTAGGGTTTTGGTGCTGTARGGTTTTGGTGCTGTARGGTTTTGGTGCTTTAGGGTTTTGGCGCTGTAGGGTTTTGGTGCTGTAGGGTTTTGGTGCTTTAGGGTTTTGGTGCTGTAGGGTTTTAGTGCTGTAGGGTTTTAGTGCTGTAGGGTTTTAGTGCTGTAGGGTTTTAGTGCTGTAGGGTTTTGGTGCTTTAGGGTTTTGGTGCTGTAGGGTTTTGGTGCTGTAGGGTTTTGGTGCTGTAGGGTTTTGGTGCTGTAGGGTTTTGGTGCTGTAGGGTTTTGGTGCTGTAGGGGTTT